GTGTGTCTGTGTGTCTGTGTGTGTGTGTGTGTCCGTGTGTGTGTCTGTGTGTGTGTGTGTGTGTGCATGTCTGTGTCTGTGTGCAGGTCTGTGTCTGTGTGCAGGTCTGTGTGTGTGTGTGTGTCTGTTTGTGTCTGTCTGTCTGTCTGTCTGTCTGTCTGTCTGTCTGTCTGTCTGTCTGTCTGTCTGTCTGTACCCGACTCTGTACCCGACTCTTTACTCGCCTCTTTACCCGCCTCTTTACCCGCCACTTCTCGCTTCCCTCCCCCACCCGGCAACTTCCTTACTGTCCCTTCTCCTCCCTTCTCCTCTCCGCTCCCCCTAAACTGCAGGCATGGAGCAGCGCGTGTGTGTTGTTGAGGTGAAGCAGGGTGCGTCCATCAAGGTGGAGACGTTACACAGCTTCGAGGACACATGCGGCTCGCCGCGCATCATGATGAACGACGGCTGCGTCTCGCCATCCAACCAGATCATTTGTGGTGGGCTGCTGTGCTGGCTTGCTTGTGCAACGATGCATTGCACGACTGTTTGCTCCTCTGCCTCCACACTTGCACACACATTGAAACGTACACACGCATGTGTACTCACTCGCTCACCCACTCACTCACATGTGTACTCACCCACTCACTCAATCGCTTACTCACTCACTCACTCACTCACTCACTCACTCACTCATTCACTCATTCACCCACTCACTCATTCACTCATTCACTCTCTCACTCACTCACTCACTCACTCACTCACTCACCCACCCACTTTCTCACCCAACAACGACAACTGTCAAGGGTTCAAGGATGCGCAGTTTTCGTTGCAGGAGCGCATTGCGTTTACAAAAGTGGTGCAAGCGGATGGAAAGTCCGTCACCACGCTCGCACGCAACGAGGTGTGCCCAAACGGCAACTGCTTCGTCCATATGAAGGGCGAGCTGCATCTCTTACACATCGAGACGCCATCCAAGCGTCTCATCGCCATCCCTGCCAGCACGCTCGCAGACAACGACGCTGCAACGGCGCCGACTGCATCGTTGCTCGTGGACTTTGGTGATCGCACGCTCTTTGACGCGTTCGAGCCCTCCATATGGCATGAGGCGCTGCTGCCAGATGGGATGTGCTGCTGGCGTGCCGCCGGCGACATTACAAAAGTTGCCGTTGCCATCTTCGACTTTCGCCCGTCCACGCCGCTGCGCAGTGGACAGGTGGTCCAGTTCTCCGTTGATGCGCAGGGCCACGTGGCCGTGGACGCCGTCTACACCACGCCGGGCTCCCCACGCGTCACCCACCCGGCCATCATCATGGTCAGTTGTCTGTGTATGTGCCTGTGTGTGTCTGTGCGCCTTTCTGTGCCTGTGTGCGCGTTTCTGTGTCCATCTGTCTGTCTGCCCAGCTTCTTACCACTGCGCCACGATCATCACCACCTGCTTGACCCCTGCCCACAGGACGGAGATGGATGTGCGCATCTGTGGGCCACGACAGCAGACGAGGGCCTGGTGGATGCAGTCCTCAGCAGCAATGGCGGTGATGGCGTCGATACCACGCGCGTTGGCGCTTGCTTCTCTGTTGCTCTTCCACAACAGCACCAGCCCTTGCCTGATGACACGCCATGTAACCTCCCATACACGCTGCCAAGCTGAACACGCCATGTGTGTGTGTGTGTGCGTGTCTGCTGGCTGTCTGTGTGCGTCTCTGTTGTCTGCTGGCGTTGACCTACAACAACGGTGAGTTGTGTTCTCTGTTCGAATTGTGGCCGTGCACTGTGGAAGGGGTTCTTTACTTACACGTAATCAATACTGTTGTGTGTCGGTTACGCTTGCGTTACACATCGATAATAACAGCCAGTTGCGTCAGGTTGCAGTCTGGAATGAAGCAAGTGAGAGTGTACGAGAGTGTACGAGAGAGTGAGGGGCTTCACGCAGACACAAGCAAACTTCACGCAATGACAGCATCAACGTTGGCGCATGCAGCTACTGCTGCTGCTGCTGCTGCTTGACAACGCGCCGTTATCGTATGTGAGACAGATAGCACTGGCCTGGTACGTGCTCAACGTGCACAAATCCTTTCGACGACGACGATGATGATGATGCTGCTGATGTCGATGATGATGATGATGATGACGGTGGTGGGGTAATGTGGATGATCTGTCCAATCTCGAGATCCGGGTGGCGGTACCGCGTCCATGCCGTCGCACTGCACACAGACGGTGGTGATGGGCGTGTTAATATGTGCGTGTGCGTGTGCGTGTGTGTGTGTGTGTGTGTGTGTGTGCGTGTGTGTGTGTGTGTGTGTGTGTGTGTGTGCGTGCGTGCGTGTGTGTGTGTCTGTGTGTCTGTGTGCGTGCGTGGGTCTGTCTGTCTGTCTGTCTGTCTGTGTGTTTGTCTGTCTGTCTGTTTGTCTGTCTGTCTGTCTGTCTGTGTCTGTCTGTCTGTCTGTCTGTCTGTCTGCGTGTGTGTGCAGCAATCACAAACCTCCCATCGCTTCCTCCTCTTCACCACCTGCTTTCCAGCGTACCCTGATGGGAGAAGAATGAGGTATAGTGGCTTCTGTTCACCATCAGCCGTCATCCTGCCAACAATCTCGCACTGCTGCAGCCCCTGCCATACATGATGCGCGTTGATCACGTCAATGCGTGAGTGGACATGACGCGGTGGGTGTGCGGAGGTAATGCTGGAACGTGGTCGGGCTCCGGGTCAACAGCAGCAACACTAGCAGCAGTGTGTAACACCAACATCAGCAACAACGGTAGCAACAACGGCAGCAACAACGGTAACAGTGGCAAGAAGAAAGGCACCTCGTGCGTGCCGCGCGAGACGGGGTTCTTGTTCACGGCAATCTCGCTCATCCAGTGCTGAACATCCGCTCTGCCAGCAACGACACGTGCACACGCGTGACGGTGTGGGTGGGCACGTAGCACAATGGGTTGGTAAGATCATGTGCAGGTAGCACCATATGCAAGAATCAGATTGGGCTGCTAACACAATAGGAAGCTAAAGCTAACAAAATGGGGTGGTAACATCATGTGCAGGTAATGTAACACCACACAGCAGGTAGGATGCATGACACGACACTCGCGCGTCGACAACGGCAACCGCATCATCTGACGTACGGTGGCAGTGCTTCTTGGATGGGGAACTGGGCCAGAATACGCGCGCGCACTGATGAGGGTGCGCATGTGGTGGCGTATGACGTGGCATTATGTGGTGAACGGGGTGGCTGAGATGGTTGTTGAGGTGGTGGTGCGGTGGGAAAGGCAGGCAATGAAGACAAACAAGTGTGCTTGAAGGCAGAGCAGTCGACGAAGCGCATGCATCCAACAGTTGGGGCAGGGAGGTTGCGACTCACACTCTTCGGCCTCTTTCTTCTTGCTCTGCTTGAGATGGCCCTGTGGTGAAGAAGACCGCCGCGTGCGCGTTTGCGTTTGCGTGCGGGCGTGGCGCGAGAGTGGTGCGGGTGTAGTGTGAGTGTGCATTGGGGGTGTAGGAGTGGACTGGGCTTGAGGGGCTGGGGAGACAAAATGCAGCGTTGCAGCTTGCCGACGCACGGGAGCGAGGCATGCGCTCAGGTGTACATGCACGCGTGCACACGCAACGCAGCACACAGCCACGTGCACAGACCTCGACGTGTGCCCGGAGTGCTTCGGGGGAGTTAAAGGACGCGGGGCAACGCGGCATCGGACACGGGAAGGGGAGGATGCCTGGGGAGTGGAGGTTGTGGGTGTATGCACAAGCAGCCGTCATCAACACCACACCAGCGCAGCAAACACACACGCACACACACGACACGACACTCACATGCACACACACACAATACACAAACACGCACACACGCACGACACACACACATAGATACGCACCAACGTGTTGCATGATATGCCGCACGAGCCATGCTCGCTGGCCACGCTCGCTCTTGATCTGCACCACAACGCGAATGCCATCCAGCAGTGAGAACATAGACGTGCGCCCACACACGCACACACACACGCACACACACACGCACACACACGCGCGCGCACACACATACACACACAGAAACACACATACACACACACACAGACAAACACACCGAGCAGTTGTGCCAGCGGCAGGTGTAGTCACTGCACTCGTTCACGTGCTGCTTCTCCGCATGTTCCACCACGAGCTTGGGCAGATCCGCGACAAAGTCGCACCCCTCCCACTTGCACGCGACCACCCGCGCTTCCTTCCTGCAAGCGCAGCGGCGCCGCCATGCGTGTGCGTTCGGAAGCGTGAGACACCTGAACAGTTGAAGGAGGGGAAGGAAGGATAGCAAGGCACCGTCGCAGACAGGGCGGTGCATGCGGAGCAATGAGCGCGCAAGTTACACGCACTGGTGCGGTGCATCTCGCGCGCGCACGAAGCGGCGTGGCGTGCTCTGCTTTCTCCTCTTCGTCAGCGGCGTGGCGTGCTCTGCTTTCTCCTCTTCGTCATTGTCGTCGAGCACGTTGCTGTTGTCCGCTTGCATCATCACAACAGCACAACAGCAACAAACCAACGTGCATTCTCATCACAACACAACAGCACAACAGCAACAAACCAACCCACCCACTAACCACACAAGGGCACGCGATGAAGCTGCTGAGACGCAACTTCGACAATGAGGGCGGCGGGGAGGTGCGCGTGGAGGCTGTGGAGGCCGAGGACATGTGGCAGCTGTACAACCTAATCCACGAAGGCGACGTGGTGAAGGCGAAGACGTCGCGCAAGGTGCAGAGGGAGACGGCCACCGGCTCGCAGGTGTCGGAGAAGGTGATGCTCAACCTTGCCGTGCGTGTGGAGGACATCGACTTTGATCCTGAGGGCTCAACCATTCGCCTCAAGGGAAAGAACGTGGAGGAGAACAAGTTTGTCAAGGTCAGGACGCCTCTGCGTGTGCGTGTGTGTCTGTGTGTCTGTGTGTCTGTGTGTGTGTGTGTGTGTGTGTGTCTGTGTGTCTGTGTGTCTGTCTGTGTGTGCGTGTGTGTGTCTGTGTGTCTGTGTGTCTGTGTGTCTGTGTGTCTGTGTGTCTGTGTGTGTCTGCATGTCTATCTCAGTGCGGTAACGAGCCGTGTCGTCTTCTTACGAAGTGTTGGTACTCCTGATCGTCACAACACCAACAACAGCTGGGACAATACCACACGCTGGAGCTTGGACTGCGGCGTGCGTTTACGCTGCGAAAGACAGAATGGACCTCTGTCGAGCTGGAGCGACTCGGTATGTCTCTCTGTCTGTCTGTCTGTCTGTCTGTCTGTCTGTCTGTCTGTCTGTCTCTGTGTGAGTGTGTGTGTGTGTGTGTCTGTCTGTCTGTCTGTCTGTCTGTCTGCTCGTCTCCACGTTTCTCCTTCCTTCCTTCCTTCCTTCCTTCACTCCTCTCTTCCCTCGCCCATCCCTGTCCTCCTTCCTTCCTGCCTGTCACCCACCCCTGAATCTTCCCCCTCCCCACTTGTCATCTCCTCGCCCTCGTGAACAGAGCTGGCCGTCAACCCAGTCAAGTCTGCTGATCTTGCAGCCGTCCTCATGGAGCCAGGTACGGTCACTTCTCATACTGCACAACATTTCGCAGGCTGTCTCTTTTGCTTCGCGCCATACACCCTCCTTCCCCTTGCTCACCCTCCTCCACACACCCCTTCACTGATATGCAAACACGCCAGGCAAGGCAAACGTGTGCTTGATCACCACAAATATGACGCTTGTGCGCGCCAAGATCCTCGTCAACATTCCCAAGAAACGCAAGATGAACGCATCCGCACGCGACAAGGTCTGGGTCTGTGTCTGTCTGTCTGTCTGTCTGTCTGTGTGCATGCGTAAACTTGTGCCAACTCTGCCTGCCACCAACCTTCATCGCCAACCTTCATCGCCAACCTTCATCGCCAGGCGCTGACACGCTTCTTTGACGAGGTGTTCCAGGCCATCCGCAAACACATCGACTTTGATGGTGCGAACGCCTGCTTTTCTTAGCCACCACCTCACCGCCCCTTTCGCGCCAATTGCTCACGCTGCACACTGCTCAACCAGTGTCTTGCTCACATGCTGTGCTGTGCCGTGCTGTGCAATGCTGTGCTTTCGTGCCTGCCCACCTGTGGCTGTCGCTGTTGTTGTGGTGGTGCGGGTTTGTAGTTGTCAAGGCAGTCATACTCGCCAGCCCCGGCTTCCTCGCTGTACGTCACCACGCCTGTATACGTTGTGACGACAGTGGTGGTGGTGTCTGTATGTTGTGGTGATAGCTGAATGGCTGGAGCCGTCGGCTTGTTCTTACGTTCCTCACTCATATGCATGTGCTCTGTGTGTGTGTGGTTGCAGGAGGACTTCTTGAAGTATATGTTGGCAAAGGCGACGCAACATGACATTGCAGCTATCAAAAACAACAAAGGATGCTTTATGACCGTCACATGTCCTTCGTCGCACGTGCACGACCTCAAGAGTGAGTGGGCTGCAATTGCAGCGAATGCATGCCTTTGCGCGTGTGTGTGTGTGTGTGTGCGTGTGCGTGTGTGCGTGTGCGTTTATGTTGCTCATTGATGTGTTTGTTCTGGTGTTGCAACAGCTGTGCTGGCAAATGAGGAGGTGCAAGCGCGCGTGAAAGACACAAAGGTGAGGCAACACTTCATGCCTGCTTGACGACGACGACGACGATGATGATGATGATGCACGCTTGCCGTTCACACACGCGCACGCATGCACGCACGCACACATGCACACTCACACATGCACGCATGCACACTCACCCTCACACGCGTGATAGGCGGCGCAAGAAGTGCATGCGCTGAATGCGTTCTTTGAGATGATGAGCAAAGAGCCCGACCGCGCATTCTACGGCTACAAGCACGTGCTCTTGGCGACGGAGAAGCACGCTGTGGAGACGCTTCTCATCACAGACTCACTCTTCCGCTCGAACAACATCGTGGAGAGGAAGAAGTACGCAGCCCTCGTTCTCATCACAGACTCACTCTTCCGCTCGAACAACATCGTGGAGAGGAAGAAGTACGCAGCCCTCGTGGACGCCGTTTAAGTTGTTGTTGTTGCTGTTGTTGTTGCTGTTGTTGTTGTTTAAGTTGTTGTTGTTGAAGTTGTTGAAGTTGTTTAAGCTGTTGTTGTTTAAGTTGTTCTTGTTGTTGTTTAAGTTGTTGTTGTTGTTGTTTAAGTTGTTGTTGTTGTTGTTGTTGTTGTTGTTGTTGTTGTTGCTGCTGCTGCTGTTGTTGTTGTTGTTGCCACTGCATTGTGCTGGTACCGTGTCTGTACCGCTTTGTCGCTTCCATAACTCAGGGATGTGCCTTGGCTCTTGCCACCTTTGTCTCAACTGCCCTGCTCAGGGAGTTTTCGAGCTTACACGTGTCTGGGGAACAGCTTGCACAAATAAGCGGTACAGATGCCTGCCTTACCTTACGTGCTTGCCTTGCTTACGCGCATGCTGCTGTTTCCAAGTACTTGTCCACCCTTCACGCCCGTACGCGCTCACGCACACGTACGCAACGACACAGGGATTGCGGCGATCCTGAGATTCCCCCTGCCGGAGATTGAGGATGAGGCGGACAGTGACAGCAGCGATGACGATGATGGCGACGATGATGATGGCGATGACGACGACGACGAAGAGGGAGGGGATGGGGATGGCAGAGGGCTAGAGTAGGCTGTCGTGTGCGTGTGCGTGTGGCTTTTCTTCTTGCTTGGGCCTGCTGTTGCTGTGTAGGAGCTGTGGGAGAGCGGGAGACGTCGGTGTAGCATGTCACTTTGATGTCACAATCGTTGCGGTGGTACACGTGTAGCCAAAAAGTGAAGATTCGCCACACCATCACGTCATCTTGCCATTGTGAGGTGTGTAGTGTTGTGCTCCACAAAGCATTAGCATGGCTGATCGATTAAGGGGTGTGCCTGCACATGACTACATGAAGCAAGAACATGTGCACGCAACATATAAGCGAGAAAACGGCTGATGGCTGGAAGAATGAGGAGAAAACAAGAGCAACACGTGAAGAGGGGGGAGAACCATTGCGACAAACAACGAGGGATCTGGAGATGCGTACAACTTCAACGCAGACACACTGTTGTGAGGCAACACAACAACGCCTTGAAAATAAGTGCTCGGCAATGTGACAAGTCGTTGTGATGGCCATTTGTTGGCCTGGTGGGCAAGATACGCCGATACAAGAATACTTGTTCTCACATCATCACAACACCTAGACCTACACGCGCTCTGTCTGTTTGTGCAACGCTCCAACGGACTTGAGGACTTGCGCTTTGTTCTTTGCAGTCTTGTGCCAGCTGTTGTCGTTGCTTGTCATTGCATGCTCAGATGGCAAACAACAACAACAACAACAGCAACAACAACAACAGCACCCTACATTCAACAACACGACAACAACGACTGCACGCGTTTTACACGAGGCTGCCTCGAACACTCCTCCAACTTGCTACGCTTTATCGTGTCGCAAACGACACGGAAATCCGGCGCCATTTTTTTCAACGAACGGCGACACAACACCTCACGCGACGATGAGCACCACCCTGCTCGGCGACGAGCTGGAGCGTGTGTTTGGCACGACGGACCTGTACAAGTTGTTTTGCGTGGAGCGGGATGCAAGCCAGGAGGATCTGAAGAAGGCCTTTCGCAGACAAGCGCTCAGATACCATCCAGACAAAGCAGGCAGCGACCCGGAGGCCACCACCAAGTTCCAGCTCATCAGTCGTGCGCACAAGTTCCTGTGTAGCCCATCTCGGCGAAAGGTGTGCTTCGTCACCGATGCTGCTGCTACTACATTGACTGCGCCTCACGCTTGTCTGTGTGCGTCTGCTGTATCAAATCGCTCATGGATCATGCACACAACACACACACACACACCATACAATACGCGCACACACACACACACACACACACACACACACACACACACCATACAATACGCGCTGTTTCGCTTGCAGTCTTACGATCGCACCGGTGTGATTGATGACGAGGACCTGCCTTCCGACCCAGACTTTTCTTGGTACTTGAGTCGTTTGGAATGAGAGCAAGAGCGACAGCACATGCTTGCTGCGACAGACAGTCGTTTGGAATGAGAGCAAGAGCGCATATCCGTACCCTGCGTTTGTACGCGTCTCTTGTTTTCACACACACACACACACACGTACAACTGCGCAGGGAGGAGTACTGGCATGAGCTGTTCCCGGCACTGACTGAGGAAGACATCGCCAACTTCTCGAGTTCGTACAAGGGATCCGAGGAAGAGGACGAGGACCTGAAGACGGCATACCGGCAGCACGAGGGCGATTTGAAGGCCATCTTCTCCTTTGTGCCGCTGAGCGACCCGCTGTCAGACCTGGACCGTTTCCGCGCCAAGATTGAAGCGTGGATTGCTGCCGGCGAAGTTGGCGACTACCCGGCGTTCAGAGACAAGAAGAAGGAGAAGCTGCTGCTGCAGCAGGCGAAGAAGGAGGCCAAGCAGGCTGCAAAAGCCAAGGCAGCGGCAAAGGCATCTGCAACTAGGGGCAAGAAGACAAAGGGGAAATCAGGCACACGCAACAGCGGCAGCGATGGCGGGGAAGACCTTGCACTCATGATTATGCGGCGGCAGCAGGAGCGCAAGAAGGCGTTTGCAGACCTTGAGCACCGGTACACCAAGGGCAAGAAGCTGCAGGACATGCCCTCCGAGGACGAGTTTGCTCGCATTCAAGCAGAGCTGGAGGCCAACAGAAGCAAGCGCGCCAAGAAGCGGACAAAGTAACGCGTGCATGCTTCTTGTGCATGTGTGTGCGTGTGTGCGTGTGTTCGTGCATGCTTCTTGTGTGCGTGTGTGTGTGTGTGTGTGTGTGTGTGTGTGTGTGTGTGTGTGTGTGTGTGTGTGTGTGTGTGTGTGTGTGTGTGTGTGTGTGTGTGTGTGTGTATGTGTGTGTGTGTGTGTGCACCCTCGCTTTCCTGCTGGCCTCTGTGTGCTGCCGTTTCTTCTTCGTTTGTATTTGTCAAGGGACCTTAAATGAAACGAAACCCTCCCACACAAGCAAATGCACCAAACCCAACAGACACACACACACACACAGACACACACACAGAGACAAACAAGCACAGACGTGTGCGCGCACATCAGAGCTGGAGTTGTGCGAGGTCTGACTTGAGGCCGTTGTCGCCCTCCGCCGCCGCTTTTGCAATCAGCTCCGGCAGCGTGATGCTCAGCGCCTGGTGCAGTGACAGCCTGGCAAGTTGGGAGGGGATGGCGGTGCAGTGAGTGGAGTGGGTGAGTGGGTGCAGTGAGTGAGTGAGTGAGTTAGTGTGAGAGTGGGTGAGTGAGTGAGAGAGTTAGTGTGAGAGGGGGTGAGTGAAGATCATCGTCAGCAGTGGCACCCCCTCCCAGCAGCATCAGCAGCAGTTTGTGTGTGGCAACTCACCGTTCGCTGCGCGTTGCCTCGCGCTTCCAGCACTTGAGAATCCCCGCCAACACACGCACAAGATGCAGCGGGCGGTTCGCCTTCAGCATGAACTGCTGCTGCTCATCATGTGAGGTGGTGGATGGTAATGGGTGGCGATGGTGTGAGGAAAGAGCACTGGAGACGCCGAGAGGCACGAAAGAACCACAGCGCGCACACACACACATAGACATCGAAACATCAAACACACAGACACACACACACACAGACACAAAGACAGAGACACAAACACACAATCACGTACGCACGCGCGCGCGCACACACACACGCACACACACAGAGACACGCACGCACGAACCTGCTCGACGTCGAGCTTGCAGTAGAGGTTGAAGAGGAAGGACCAGTCGTAGCCGGCAATCTTGTGCAGTTTGTCGACAACCACCATGGTGTCTGTCCCGTTCTCGGCCAGGTACTGCTCCATCCACACCGCAATCAAGCCTGCAGGCAGGACAAGGAAGGGCAAGGGAAACAGAGGCAATGTCAGCATCGTCAGGCATCGGTCAAGAGGTGGATGGCATGAATATATGCATCTTAGGAAAGGGAAGCAGAGAGGCGCAGAAAGGTACAGGCAGACAGACACACAGCCACACAGCCACACAATCACACACACACACACACAGATACTCTCTCACTCACTCACACACACACACACACACACACACACAATCACACACACACAATCACACACACACACAATCACACACAACCACACACACACACACACACACAGACACACACAGCTCCCCCTTCCCCCCCCCCTTTGTTACGGACTTGGAGCCTCTGTGTCGTCGTCCCTGAGGGGCTTCATAATCTCGGCCAGGCGGGTCATCACCTCCTCCACCACCTCCAGCGTGTCGCGCCCGGGGATGCGGCTGGCGTGCTGCCACGTCTGCTGCACAATGTTGTGCCAGATCTGCGAGTGCTCCTTTGGCGTGATGCGCCCCTGTGCGAGACGCTGGGCAAGCTGGCACTCGTACAGCCGGAACGGCTCCGAGAACCGACGCAGCAACTGCACAACAGCACACGCGCACATGGCGAGCGGTGCGTGACACGATCATGCCATGCATGGGTGAGTGATGTGAGTGATGTGCATGCGTGAATGAGTAGGTGTATGTGGCGACGAGAGTGCGTGTGTGTGTGTGCACGTCAGTCAAAACACGGTGTACATCAGCAGAAACAGAGACAGCACACGGAGAGCGAAACGCACGTCATCAAGCGGCCACAATCTGCTGTTCAGCTGCACAATGGCGGCATTTGCCCTGCAATCATCGCAACAGTGCACAGTTGTGTAAGAACAACCGAAGTTTGGGCAACAACATCACACCTTCACCATGGAGAGACGTAGGTCCACACACACCCACACCCACACACACACGACAGCAGCAATTGGTGCGCGTACTCCTGCTGGTGGATGGCTGCGGCGTCCTTTGCGGCGTCGAGGGCGCGGATGACCTGCTCCTGGTGGTACGCCGCACGCTTCATGTCCCGCAGCGTTCGCAGCAGCTGCGCAACGTGCTGCGCCGTCCCCATCGCATCTGCCCCCTGCATGTACCGGCTCTGGCTCTCCAGGCTGCAGCAGTTTGGAGAACAGGCAAAGGACGCGTGTGTGAATGTGTGTGTGAATGTGTGTGTGTTTGAGTGAGTTGGTTGGAACGTGGGTGTAGAGGTGATGTGTGTTTGAGTGAGTTGGTTGGAACGTGGGTGTAGAGGTGATCATTGGGGAAGATACAATTAAAGTGCCGACGACGCAGTGAGCTGGGTGACGCGCTCCTTGAACGTGCGGTCGTCATTCCTGCACCAACACGCACAACAGCCGTCAGGAAATGAACTGCAGCACACAAACAAGTTTGGTGCACGGACACAAATTACAAAGACACACAAACAAAGACACACACACACACACACACACACACAAACAAACGCGCGCGCGCAACACGTGTTGAACGTACGAGAGGCGGGCGAGCTGGCACGCTGTCTCGGCCAACCGCTTTGCATTGCGCTTCTCCCGGAAATAGTCAAACTTGAGGCTCAAAATCTACACACACACACACACGCAAACACACACACACACACAGGAGCACGTGAACGCGTTGAAGGATGAAGTCAACTGAAATGATGATGACAGAAAGCACACACACACACACACACACACACACGCAAGCTGTCGCGCTGACCTCGCGCAGGGCCTTTGGATCATCGGAATATTTGTCCTCCACGCGCTGCAGCCAGTCCTCAAGGAACGGCGAATTCAACTACACACACACACACACACACACGCACACACGCACACGCACACACACACACACGCACACACGCACACGCACACACACACACACACATCCACCCACGGCCCCACCCCCAGCCACCCACAGACCCCCAGACAAGCACAGGTATTTTTCCCTGCCACCCCCCCCCCCAACACAATGACATGCGACTCACGACGGCAATTTGGGCGTGGAGGTCGCGTTCGTACTGCTGTTGGGCCGGGCCCGTCTGAAGCGCGCGGCCAAGCAGCTCCGTCAGCATCGTGCGCAGCTGGGCACGGGGAGGAGCAGGAGAGGGACAAGGGGTTGGCGACATGGTGTGAGAATGAACGGATACGATGCACAAAGAATAGACACAACACACCACCCCCACAACGCACCCCACCACACCACAGAAAACGACACCGCACCACAGTATACGACCCCACAACACACCACAGCACACCTGTTCGTAGCAGAGTTCGCGCTCCTCGTTTGCGCGCATGCCCTCAATGTCCTCTGGGGGCTCGCCGCGGCGGTAGTACGTCACTGCGGGCTCAAGCCGCTCCAGCTCGGCACACGTCAGCACAAGCCGCTGCACACACACACGCATGGCCGTCGTGGGCGTGGTGAGACGGCGGTGCAGGTGGTGATTGCAATGATAACACGGGTAACAAAACCAAACACACACACACACACACACACACACACACACACACACGTGCAATCAGCCTTCCTAGCCTGCGACAGCGCCATGCAACACGTGTTCGCTTACGGTAATGCCTTCCCAGTGCTCAAGCTTGAGGAGACGGGTGCAGATGTCAGCAAGGCCGCGTGTTGTGTTGTCGTCCTTGAAGATGCGCTGATAATCACGAACGACACCCGTCAAATATCGGGACGCCTCCTTGCGGGCGGCCGCTGCGTCCATGCCGGGCGTGGCCAGCACTTGCTCAGCACGCACCAGCTGCTCTTTGGCCTGCGCACATGGGAAGGAAAGCAGTCGGTGTTCGTGTGAGTATGAGGGCGTCAACGGTTTGGAATCGCTCGCGACGTGCAGCAGGGGTACTTCCTTGGTACTTGCACGCACGTATACAGACATCTAAACAGGCAGACAGGCAGACATCTACACAGGCAGACAGGCAGACGGACAAACAGGCAGATAGCCAGACGGACAGGCAGGCACACACACACACACACACAGACACCCACACAGACACACAGACACACAGACACACACAACCACTCGCCCACCTTTGACTCGAGCATGGCGCGGGACGAGTGGAAGAGCGGGCACGCGTCATGCAGCTCCTTCGTGCGGCGGGAAAACGTGTCAGACTCATTTGCGCGCACCAGGCGCATGAGCATCTTCTCAATGAGCGTGCGGGCCAGCCTGTTGCCCTCGCGCGTGGTGGCCAGGTCCCAGAAGGAGATGCTCTCAAGCATGGCGCGCTCCTGCGACGAGAGATCGCCTGCGAGCGTGGTGAACACGTCCGGCTCCTGCGTGAGAATCGCCCACAGCCGCAGCGCCTGCTGCACGTACGTGATGAGCACGCTCGCGGTGTAGATGGACGCACGCTCCTCATCGCGCGGGGCGAGCTTGCCGCCAATGGGTGCGGCGATGGGCTCAACCTTGTCGTACACGGCAACAAGCACGCGCTGGAGGCCATCCATGAGGGCGAGGGAGGAGGAGAGGACGGCCGGGTCGCCAATGGAGGCGGCGGCACTGGCAGCACCGAGCAGCGGGCGCTTCCAGTGGAACGTGCGGGCAACGCGGCCAATGAGCTGGAACACCGCATCGTGCCGCCCAGAGAGCACAAGCTGAAGAGGGGGCGGGAGGAGGAGGGAGGGCGTTGCGGTGGGTGAGGGAGAGGACAAGGGGCGAGTGAGTTGAAGTAGACGAGTAAGGAGCGGGTGGGAAGTATGGAAGCGAGCAAGCGAGCAAGCGAGCAAGCGAGCAAGCTAGGTAGTGATCACACACACAGACACAGACACAGACACAGACGCAGACACAGACACACATGCACAGACACACGCTACGTACATCGGGCTCCTGCTCTGGCTGGCCGACGAAGCTGTGCTGCTGGAAGACGGCGGGCCTGTTGAGGTGGAACGGAGCGCCTCCGTGGTGCCGCAGCGCCTCAACAGCCTGCCCAGCGGACACACCTGCACACACACGCACAAACACGCACGCACGCACGGACACACACACACACACACACACACACACACAGACGCAGTTGAGGGAGAACGTGTGAGTCGTCGTGTGTTAGGTGGGTGTCATTGCGTGAGAAGTGGACAGCAAAGCACCGCGCGACAATACATCAGCTTGTAAACACGCATACACACACACACATGTATACACCCACACAGGCACCCCCCCCACACACACATGTACCTCCCTCCTACTCCTCCTCCGTGCCATTGACACGACCTGGCGGTGGGTTGCATGCAAGCACGAGCGCGGCAGCCGACGCTTCGCGCACAAACGCCTGCTGCTTGATGCTGACTTGGAAGGGTGGCAGCCCCTGGAGCACCGACTCTGGGAAGGCCGGCTGGAAAAAGCGTGCAGCGCCCGAGGCATGGCCGTGCTCAAAGTGATACGCCAGCGTGTCCACGGGCCTACGGTCCTCAATGTAAAACGTGCCCGCAGATGTCAACAGCACAAACTGCGTCGGTGGCATGTGCTGGGTGATGAGCTTGTTCTGGTACCGCTCCGTGCGCAGCGCATCGCTCAACTGCAGACATCGCGTGCACCGTGTGTGCGAGTGCGAGTGCGAGTGAGTAGGTTGTATGTGGATGAGTGCGAGTGCGAGTAAGTGTGTGAGAAGAGAGAGAGAGAGAGAGAGAGAGAGAGAGAGAGAGAGAGAGAGAGAGAGAGAGAGAGAGAGAGAGAGAGAGTGAGTGAGTGAGTGAGTGTGTGTGTGTGTGTGTGTGTGTGTGCGTAGTGAGTGTGTGTGTGTGGTTAGGTTAGGGTTAGGGTTAGGGTTAGGGTTAGGGGTTTAGGGGTTTAGGGGTTTAGGGGTTAGGGGTT